AATGTCCACAACAAACATGCCTTCGGTCATCAAAAATGATACATGGATTGTTCCTGTGTCACCATCCAAGATCACATGCACTTGGAGCATCAGCATCCTTTGATTCAGGTGTAGAATAGCTCTCAGCTGGAGCTTCACTTCCTTGATTTGGAAACTGCCTTCCCCAGCTGGTAATTGGGCCTGCTGGCATTCTTCAGAGTGACCACAGAGCAGAAGAGGCACAATGAACCTTCCCCATCAGATTCCTTGAAAATTGAGCTGATATATTGAAGGCAGCAGACAGATTCACAATTTAGGGACATGGGTTTTTCAAGATATGATAAACAGACAACACATGTACTTCTCTAAATTGTTCTGTCATGGCCACTTGTCTCCTCCACTAGGTTCTCCCGTGTCCTCCAGCTGCTTCCACTGACAGCTCGATTGTGAAGTGAGCTTCAGTTACAAGAGGCTTGTATACAGAGGGTCCCTTCCCACCTTGTTCACATTCTGATCCTCCCTAATTCAATCAGATTTTGATTTAATTCTGCCACAAATTAGTTTTTTTCTGAAGCCATAGACAGATTGCCATAAACAAAGGAGATCATTTTAACTTAAGAGTTTCAAAAAGTAATATGGACAAAATATTGGCTTATTCTAGATTAGGTCATATATTTCATGGATGTTGATAGAAGATACAGGATTATGGCTAAAACTTTTGAAATGAAATATTTGACTAAAATTTTTATGAATGGAGCTAATTTCAAGTAGTTTTTGATCATGAAAATAAAAATCTCATTTTGATTAATTTATCACATTTACTCAGAGGTCTTTCCTAAAGTTGCGTTTATTAAACCAGTGATTTATTCAAAATGAATAAGATGATGAAGATACCCACTTAGAAACTTGGTGTAAAAAAATCATAAAACTGTTCATCTGCAATCAGGCAGCCTTAGGAGGTCCAGTATTTTGTTTGGTTTCGTTTGGTTATAGTATCAAAACCAAAAGGTATTTTTATGATCTTACTGCTTCTGTTATATCACAACATATGTATATATAAAATGAGATGCATTTATTTAAATACACTGGATTTTGAAGGCTGAATAAGAAAAACTGTCTCATTAAGATTTTTTTTTTTTTTTTTTTTTTTTTTTTTTTTTTTGAGACGGAGTCTCATTCTGTTGCCCAGGCTGGAGTGCAGTGGCGCGATCTCGGCTCACTGCAAGCTTTACCTCCCGGGTTCACGCCATTCTCCTGCCTCAGCCTTCAGAGTAGCTGGGACTACAGGTGCCTGCCACCATGCCTGGCTAATTTTTCGTATTTTTAGTAGAGACAGAGTTTCACCATGTTAGCCAGGATGGTCTCGATCGCCTGACCTCATGATCCGCCCACCTTGGCCTCCCAAAGTGCTGGGATGACAGGCGTGAGCCACTGTGCCCGGCCGTCATTAAGATCTTTGAAAAATGTTTTTATGATCAGTGTAAACCCATGTTGAAAAATGATAAAACGTTTTGCCGGTTGAAATCATTTTGACTTGGTTCCTTGTACTTTATTTAGTATGGCTACTAGAAAACGTATAATTGCATAGATGGGTCACATTGTCTTTCTATTGGCCATCTCTGGTCTGGACTTAGGGGCCCTTCAGTTCCCTAGCTCTCCAGCCTGCCTGGGGCACAGACCCATCACGACAGCTGTGAGGTTGAGTAAGCAGTTGGGGAAATTTAATTCACGATCTCGTAGAGTAGCCCAAGCTATGGTTGACTGAGAAAAGAAAGAATATGTCACGTTTCTCACATGAGTACTGAGAATCTAGTCCTGCCTGTAACTCCTAGAGCAGAGGACCAAGCGTCTCTGAGGACACACATTTTGCCTGGCATTGAGTTGGCCTCAGACAACACTTGCTATATTAACTATTCAATTCTTGGGACCTTACTCTCTCATACTTACCTTTTGTACAAAAGTAAGAATTAAAAAAGAAATTACATAAGATTGCACTCATTTTTCCTTTTCTACTAAATTCTCTTCTGGCCTCCAATTGCTTCTGAAGGTGGCTCAGTTCTCCTTACATCTTTCTTAACATGTTCTTTTGAAAATGACATTTGACATATTTATTAAAAACTTTATCTGTGATATTATTGAAGTATTTGCAAGGCTTCAGAGAAATGTCTAAAATGTACTATCCTTCTCAGTACTCTAAGATGACTTTTAAAGTGTATAACATACCTTAAATAACGTATACTTATATGACCTATGGATATTAATATATCTTGGTAGGACTGGCAATTATTTAGAAATTATTCTAGTTTTGAGATGAGAAAAAACTCCATTTTGCTACAGTGTCAGCATAAATTAACAAACCATATTTTTCCATAGAGTAGTTTGCTCATGATATTTTGGCATGTGTGGGAGTCACATCAACTGGTCTTTCATCCATTTGCCAAATATTTGCTAATAATACGTACCGGCTCTACCGCTAGGAAGTGACTGCTTTCTTATACCAAGCAAAAAGACTTCCTAAAGCAGTTGTTCCCAAATTTTGCTGCACTTTGAAATTACCTGAGATTTTTTGGAGACGGAGTCTCCCTCTGTTGCCCAAGCTGGAGTACAGTGGCATGATCTTCGCTCACTGCAGCCTCTGTCTCCGCCTCCCAGATTCAAGTGATTCTTCTGCCTCAGCCTCCTGCATAGCTGGGATTACAGGCGTGGGCCACAACGCCCAGCTAATTTTTTTGTATTTTTAGTAGAGGTAGTGGTTCACCATGTTGGCCAGGCTGGTCTCGAACTCCTGATCCTAAGTGATCTACCCTCCTCGGCCTCTCAAAGTGCTGGGATTACAGGCATGAGCCACTGCGGCTGGCCTTAAAAATGTTGATGCCAGGCTCTCACACTGTGTCAACCTCACTTAATTGCTATTGGATGTGGACTGGGAAGTAGGATTTTTTTCATCTCCCCAGGTGATTCTAATATGTAGCAAAACTTGGGAGACCACTGCCCTAATGGAAGAGTTGCTTGTGTGCTGGAGAAATGGGATACATGATTGTTATCTTCATGTTGATAGTTTCCTGCTACATGGGGAGCTTTTCTCTTAATGTCTTTTAAAGAATAACACAACCTGGCTGGGCGCCGAGGCTCATGCCTATAAGTGAGGTAACTGATTCTGGATAATAGGTTTGGCAGTGGGGTAGATAGTGCAGATATAGCAGAATGATTTTGTTGAAGTCGTACCAGTCACATTTAGCAGTTGGCTGTATATAGAGGATAGGAATTCTGCGAGGAGTCTTACCTTGAAGTGTTAGTTTGGGTAATGAAGGATGTCAAGGAAATTGAGAGGTCCGTGACCCCGTAACGTATACCAGGAGCACTAGGGGTGCTTCTTGGAAATTCAGATTGCTGGTCTCAGTCCACGTCTGTTGAATCAGAATTGTTGACGGTTGAGTCTCTCTGCTTTAGACAGTGAGAGATCCAATAGGAATAGTCAGGTGGAGAGAAGAATTTTCTAATATTCTGCCTTTAGGGGACAGAAGAAGCCACAGGGGCTTTCCTGAGAGAGTAGGGTTTATGAAGGCCCTGGGTTATGGGGCCATATAGCGTTTGGGATAATGACAGAGAGCATGTGGATGTAAGGTAGAACTTCCATCCTAACGTGTGAGGTTGAGGGAAGAAATCACAAAATGGCGAAATGTAATCAAGTTTCGTTGTGTCAGAAGCCAAAAGGAATTACAATATCAAATGTATTTTAGGTGAATCCCAGACAGACTCAGAAATGTTCATGACAGCTCCTGTTCACTCATCCCACCACTTTACCTCCAGTCCCTCCCGTCCCTCTCCACCTGCTGTCTCTGCATGACATCTGGCCTCTGGTGGCCTGTAGTCATTTATTCCTATGTGGGAAAACATTCCCTTATTCTCAAGTAGCTTTACACCACCTTTGCTCCACTGTGTTGGTCTTGCTGAAGACAAACATTACTGTGCAGCCACCACGATTTGTAGCTCTCTCATGATGGAGTCATCTGCTCTGCCCACATCTCTGGAAAAAGGCAATGGGCTTGGCCTTCTCCCCTGCCCCTCCTGCACCTCCGACATCTCTCACTCTTGAGCTGAGCTCTGCATGGCAAGAGGGATTGTCCAGGTTTGCAAGGATGTGGGTGTCAGAAGGAATGAATTTTGGCAGAGGGATGAACGAGGGTCAAAGTATAGATGATGGAAACAGTGTGATGCATTTGGTACCTGAGGGTCATCAGGCAAGATGGGAGGAGTGGTAGGAATGGAGAGTGGAGGGAGGGAGGCACTCAGATTACCCTGCTGAAGGGTTGCTTTGCCTTCGAGTGATAAGGAGCTGTCAGGGTTAAGTTCCAAAGTGGTGCAATAAGATAAGCATTTGGAAGGATTCTTAACCTCTCAGACCCTTAGTTCCTTTAAAAAAAATTATTCACACTACCTCCCTCCCAGCGTTGTGAGGATTAAAGAGTGAGTCTTTGCACATAGTAGATATTCATTAAATGCCTGTCTTCATTTCCTTCTTCATCCTTCTCCTGCATTGTTTTAATCTTGAAATGTGCATGTGCCTCATTTGGCAGTTATATTGCCTGGTATTTTAAGTTATATTTTCTATGTTTACTTTGTTTCTGGAACTTTACTGTTTACTTGGAGAAAATGTCTTATTTATCCTTTGCTTGCCTCTTCTTATTTCTAAATACAGGCACGCCTTGCACACATAGTAAGCACTCAGCAAGCAATTGCTTTTTGCTTGAGTATTCAGATTTGACTAAAATTCCATATTGGTAATATTATGTGTCTTCACAATTTCTAGAGTTATTGAAAGAATTTATTCTATATGTGGTTGGAATTGGTACTTCCACATAACATGTAGGATTGGTTTTCATTCTCTTATGAATTTATGTTAGCATCTTTGTAAATTGCAGGTAATATATCAGACATAGAAAAGTACATCATGTTACGTGTGAAGGAGTCTTATGGTTTCAGAGATTGGAGTGTAATTACATCATTTCTTTGAGTAAGTACAAATGAGCTGCCCGCCATGAGCAGTGCATTGTCTCTTTCTGGGCCTGCATGACACCTAGGTGCATGTACTATATGATACGCAAAAACAAAGTAAGACTCTTTTGCTTAAAAACATCTTCTAGTTGCTATTTCTAAAATAGTCATTACCATTTAAAACTAAATTTGGATGCCACTTTTGTTTATGAAGTTTCTCTTAAAAAATCTTCCATATGTGGATGATTTGAATATTCACTTTAATTTTCTAGAGTATGGCATTAAAATGTCGGTCTAGGCAAGCTGTCAGTTATCAAATTCAGCATTGTAACAAGCTGTGAATTCATGGGATAGAAGTAGGAAGCCACATATAAGATGTGACAATCTTTCATTTGTCGCATGTAAGAGCGAATTTATCTTCCTTTGCAAAGCAAAGTTTTAGATTTTTGGAAAACCTTACCGCTTGAAGATTGCTTTACCTCCAGAACACTTTGGAATTGTATGGGGTTCTCAAGATGGGCTCTGGTAGAAGATTACAATGTATAATTTCAGTATTAATCTTCAGGGGTGTGGAAAGGGAGATGCCCAGAGTGAACCTGAAACATATTTTACCAATTGCACATTAATTTTAAATTGCCAAGGGCAATGAAGAAAATAAAGAACAGCTGTCCTTGGAAAATTTAGAGCAAGTAAACTAGAGTTTCTCTGTCTATTTTTTAATCAAAATGGGTGTGAGGTGAATGTGGGTGGAAATAGAGGACAGTCTTCTGTGGGAGGGAGCTGAAGAGTCTTGCGGTGTCTGCAGAAATGCAAATGCAAAATGGAAATACTAAATCCAGGCAAATCAGGACTGAATATTCATTTTCACAATTAGTAATCTAATTTGTTTTAAGGAAACTCTGAGAAACTATTTGTTTCCAAATGAGTGGTCACGTTAAATTAATAGGGGCAGATCCTTCCTCTGAGATGGCGAACCCTGAGTCCTTGCCTGTACCACTCGCCCATGTGGTTTAGGGTTTGGTTTAGGACTGTTATTACTTTCCTGTTGTCCGATGACTGTTTTTTTTTTTTTTTTTCAGCCCATGAGTTCTTCAACCTTCTTTTCTCTTTGTTACCCATGGTTTTATACATTTTCCTCTTCTTTAACATATCCCCATGGAATAGAAATGAAGAAAATTAATAGGACTTTATTCAATCGTTACAATAAATCATCTTGCTTCTGGGTGTATTTGGGTTTGGAGGTTGGGTAGGTGTCAGAAAATGACAATGGTTTATTTTCAAGTAGTGCTGAAGGTGTTTTTAGACAGAAGAAAGTTGGTAGAACTGTCTTGCTACAGAGTAAGCATGCTAGGCTCTATGTTTTTGCATGACATTCTGATGAGCTCTGTGACATTTTATGGTACACTGTTAGCATAGTGGTGAAGAACATTAGCCCAAAAGACTTTCTTGATTGTAATCTCTGTTTTACTCCTTATTAACTCTGCCATGTAACCTCTCTGTGTCTTTATTTCATCACCTGTGGAACAGGATAAGGGTCATGTCTCCTTCAAGGGGTTGTTGTGAGAACTAAAAGAGAATGCTTAGACATTGGCACATGTTGAGTGCCCAGTAAGTGTGAGTCTTATTTAGAGGTAAATCCAGTCATTGAGGCCAATTATAATTAAGTGGTCCAATTATTGATTTAAGGCTCTAGGAGATTGAAGAACTTTGTTTTTTTTTTTTTAAATAGCAATTTACATTGGGAAATAAATCACCCAAGTTCACTTTATCTGTTCATTTTATGTGGCTCTTAGAACAAACAGCAAAATTAACTGGTTTGGCTTTTAACCTTCTCTTCAGTGATTTGTGGACATTTGAGCATTAAAATATCCTGAGCAGTAAAATAGCCAGAGGCTCGGGAAGAACACAACAGTTTTCAGATTATCTCAAGCTTTTTCTCAGAAGCCAAAGAAACAAACACCACAAAACACCCCGAAAACCAAAAGCAGGCATTCTTCCTCCCGGGATTTAGTACCTGCTGCTGCAACTGCGCTGAGGTGGAGAGGCAGAGGGCAGCAGCGAGACACCATTAGGCCTTTTCTGATGTTTTCCATCTCTGCAGCAGAGGAATGAAAAGGAATCTTGCAAAAAGCAATGGCCCACTTTGGCCTTGAGTTTGAGTCTCTTTTCTAATTTATTCTAGTAACATTTTCTAGTACTTAAACCTGAGCTACACGAGTGATGAGCTTGAAAATAAATTTATTTAGCTGTCTCATCCTTTCCAACTTACTTTAATACTTACCTATGCCTGGCCATACACATGTTAGATGGATTTTAGTCTGTACTTTTGGGGGTATTTCTTACAGGGAAGGCATTAGAGGAAAAAATATTAGAAATATGGTTCCTGTTCTAAAAGATGAGCTTCAATCTAACTTCAAGATGGATTTCAGTCTACTTTCATGTTGACCAGTTATCCTGCATAGTTCCACGGATACTAGTAGAAGACACAAGACTCCTGGATCTTTGACACAGGACAGTTTATTACTGTCAGTAGCTAGAGTAGTGCATTTTGTGCTGGTTCCCTGAGCCCTGATTCCTAAGGGCACTGCAATGATGGCAAGGTGATACTTATGGATGATACAGTTGGTTGTGTTATAGGAGGAAAAACTCTGAATGCAGGAAGCTCAAATCTTTTATAATGGCCAGCAAGCAAGCCATTTGCTCTAGGAGACACCATCTCTACATGCTAAGGCTGCAAGCAACCCTGCTTTTTGTTCCAAAGGGTAGATATTGGAACAGAGGGTGCTCCCACCACCCTGGGGTGATGTTGGTAGTGGTGATATGATGTGGGAAGATGCTTTGTGAGCAGTTGTATCCAGAGGGTGGCAGATCCCAGGTGCTGTGCTGCATCGTTTGCCTTAGCTCTTTCTGTAGGCTCTCGTGAGCTGTTGACAGATTTGGATGGGAGTGTATCTTGATATCTTTGACAGAGAGTAGAATTGGTGGGAATAGAATGGGGGTAAGGTGGAAGGCAGGGTGGTTTGATTGAATTTGGGGAGTAATTGAGATAAGAAATGATGGAGGTTTAGACTAGAGTATTTGTGATGGAAAGAAGGGATAGATAGAAAGACTTCGCAGACAAACAGAATCTGATGACTTGCTGGATATTGGAAGTCAGGGAGAGGGGAAAGCAAAAACGGACTTTAAGCTTCCAAGATGAGGTGAATGAGACCTTTAGCTAAGGCAGAATGCAAGATGAGCAGTAGGTTTGGGAGGGATAGAGACTGGTTTTGGATATTCTCAATGCAAGTGGCATGTTATAAGAAATAGAATGAAGGCAACAGGAGAGATGGCAGGAGTTATTCTTAGAGAGGTAAGGTTTTGAGTGTCTATGTCAAGATGATAGTGGAGAAAAGGACAGAATCTTTGTGAATGCTTCTATTTTGATGATGAGAGGGAGAAGAATAATGGAGATATAAGACAGAGGTATAGGAGGAAAAGGAAGAGAGGATGGTTGTAAGGGAATCCATAAGAGGGGAGGTTCCAAGAAGGAAGAAGTCAGCTGTGTCAAATACTCTAGAAAGGTCAGATTGGGGGAGGAACAAGAAACAACCATTGGGTTTAGTGGTTGGGAAGTCAACTAGATAATAGCAAGGTTGTACTTATTTTTTTCTTAGGTCTTACTCTTCTCACAAGAACCGTATGAGACAGGTGGTATTATCTCCATTTGCATAAGCCCCTGAAGTGAAGAAACGTGATTTGATTTGTGTAAGTCTCAGAGGTAGAGAGCAGTATACTACAACTTGCCTCCAAGACTGTGTTTTAAATACCCTTACTGCCCATGCTTTTAACCAGTCAGCATGAGGAGATGGAGATAACTATAGTCTGACCTTTTTTTTTGAGGATACTGGAGATGAAGGAAAGAAAAATAGAAGACAAGCTTTTAAAGAAAAACATTTAAAAGTTTGAGAGTACTGTAGGAAAGGTAAGTAGGGAGGGAAGATTTAAATATCACTGTCTGAAAGTGTTCATCTAGATTCAGGATTAAGCCTTTCTAAAGTTACACCTGCCTTTTTTCCATAACAACTGCTTCATGGACCTCTGAAGGTGCATCCTTGGCCCAAGAAAGATGCACTGCCTTTGCTGAGGATCGCTGCAACACCTCGGGAGGTCTCTTCATAGCAGACATAATGTCAATATAGAATCTGCATATGACAATATATTAAAAATTTTAACGTATTGCATTTTATGTTTTTGGAGTATATCACACTCTCTCTCACACAGTCTTCATAAAACTCTGTAGGTAGTTGAGCAGATATGTATTAATAGGCTCAGTTGTACATGTGGTATCAGAGGCCAGAACAAGGTAGGGTAAACCTGTCACAGGTCACGCAACTAGGCAAAGCTGGGGTTTGGAGCCTAGTCTCCTGGCTCTAAGTCAGAATTATCCTATGGCAGCAGAAACGGTGAGAGGAAGAGTTGGTGGACAATGCAACTTAGTGGTGATGAGGGAGCTTGATCCTACAGGAATGCCCAGAGGCTGTGAGATACTCCTTTTGCCCAGGTTCATGCTGTGAGGAAAAACTGAAGGGTGCATTGAGTGAGTCACAGCCAGTGCCTCTGTTAGATACTGGGCTAGGGAGACCTCTGGGAGAGTGTGGGGCCCCAAAGGTTACTACTGAAATTGGAAACTCCCTGTTACTCTGTCACTTTCCTCTAGGCCCCGTCTAGGCACTTCGCCAGTGGCTTGGGTAGAAGGAATAGCAACAAGTCTAGGGGGTCTGGTCTGAAGCTAAAATGCTTTCTATTGTGTTGCCTAGAAACTGAAAACGAGGCCAGCCACCTGTAGTATGCAGTCCATTTTGACCCTAATACAGAGGCTGCAGCTAATAAACTATCTACCTTTTGTATTTGAGACTTGGATTCCAGAGGATGAGACTTAGTGTCAAGCCTTAGATGTATCTTTAGAGGCCTAAAATTGTCAGTACTTCCAAAAATATGGGTTGGACCCAGAAGTGGGTATTTGCTTTGCACTTTTAAAAATATTTCTCACTTTTCTCCTGGGATGGGACAATAGTGAGTGGATGTGACAGATAACCCCAGTGGGCACAGCCACCTTCACGTGCCCAGCTGTCTCGTTTCTGTGTTTAGTCTCTGGTTTGTTTGGAAGTGGGAAGACTGTGGGAATGAGATCCTAAGACCTTTCCTAAAAGTGCCTGCTGATCGGGAGGCTAATCATCACAATACAGAAATGTGTTTACACGAAGAGTAGGTGAAGGCGAACGTGAAAGCGAAAGCAAGACTTATAGGAAGGGGAAAAACAGATTAGTTGCTGGCAGGCAATAACTGTCTGTAATGTTTCTGTATCTGCTGTTCAAATAATTATCATCCAGGAGAAGAACTTACAAATGTTATTGGTGAGCAGGAATTGTATATTTTCCATGAGTCATTCTCGTTAAATAAATTTTGACTCTCGTCCCAGGGTGTGCTTTATTTTATGAAAATGGGCTTATAGATTAAAGGCCTTGGTTAGGGCATTTATATGTATCGTGCCTAGCTATTTTGGAATTAATTTTGAGTGTTATATTACAATTAAAGCATTTAATGATTGCTTGGTATGTGGGAAGCTCATGCACTTGCTGTATAAACATTATCTCCTTTAATGTTCACAGCAATCCAGTTCCCATCATTAACCCCATTTTCAGATGAAGAAGCTGAGCACAGAGAGGTTGAATAACTTGCTAGGTCACATAGCTAGAAGGTGGCAGAGTTGGAAGTTTTCCAAATGTCAGTAACCTTAACTTGTAATAGTTTATGTCTTGTAACCTTAACACATTTGTATTTCCAAGATACATTTGTTTTTTATTTAAATGAAGGTACCAAGGTCCAGAAAGTTTAAAATGTTAATCAATATTATGTTGAATCTCATTTTTGTGCAGCCATACTTTATCTTCTGCCTCAGTGCTTAGGAATTATCCCTTATCCTGCTGCTTGGCAGTATTTAATGCACTTGTAAGTGTTACAAATAATGCCTTCTTCTCCCAAAGCTTTAGAATTATGTAAATACCATATCTTAAATTTATGACAGTGAATATGTCCCTTTGATGGAGTAGAGAGAATCATTCTTCTGTCTGCTTATATTTAAAACCATTTTAATATAAATACACATCTTTGACAGAATGTTATAATGTTATGAATTGCTGAGTATCTTGGAAGAGTATCTTTGTGTGTGAACCTGTTTATTTTTATGTAACCCAGTGCAGCAGATAGCCTAGAAAGTGTTCACTGTACTTACACAGACATTTAAACATTAGTGCTTACTGAGGACTAGTTATATGTAAAGGACTCATCATCACATTTTTGTAATCCACCTATGATCTGAAACAATACTCATGGATCTTTTCATTACTTTTCTTAATATTACCTTAATACGTCATTCTTGGCCAGATCGCTAGGTATTTCCTCACAAGTTTTTCTAATTATTTCATGAAGAGTGCGTTTTTCCTTCATTTTCAAGAATATTTCAAGATTAGCTAATATTAGTAATTATGAAAATATATACATATAAGGCATCTAAAATAGTGATTAATATTTTTATGTGCATACAAGCATATGTTTATTATATAACCCGTAGGTAAATCTGTTTTTGCAGTGCTAGAGGGATATGCAAACCTATATTTGTATTTGTGCGTGTGTGTATATATATATATGCATGTGTGCCTCATTAATAATGAAATGTTCGACTTCTGATGTAAATCCCGTGAATGCCAGTATGAACATTAATGACCTTTTACCCCTGTTGTCAACACACGCGAGTGCAAATAAATGATTCAATCACTCCACAAATATTGATGAACTATCTCATTCCATGCCAAGCAATCTGCTGGTTACTAGATGAGAGCTGAATGTTAGTTTACAGAACCATGGAATTTGATAATGTATTTCTGTAGAATCATACAGCTGCAAAATCCTTTTTAATCATTTCATGTCTGTTACCATCAAAAGTGTTTATCTTTCACTTTGAGCCCTTCTCCTTTGTTGTTACATCTTTTTCTGTCTTGTATTTTATTTCTGTATTTCCTTTACTGATTAATCATCGATATATTAATTGTTCATTTATTTTTCAATTCATTTGTTAAATTTATACCATAGGCTAAGGACAAGTTGAGATATTAAGAATATAGAGCTATCAGGTATAAAAACTGCCCCTGAAGCTGAAAAGATAAGAACTTCTTGGCCTATTTAGTTGCAGGTTACTCTCTTAAACCTAATTGTCTCTTTAATTTTACCCTGTGTCTTCACTTGATTGCAACTCACTGCCTAAAATACAAGTACTCAACAATTCCTGTGAAATTAACAGGAAATTAAATGTTATGTAATTTCTAGCCTTTCTTCTCATTTATTTCCAATTTTTCCTCCCTTTCATTTTGTATTCTTCTCCCTGTTTACCATTTCTATTTTTAAAAATTACCTGTCTTTTCTCTTCTGCTTCCTTTATTCTAATGCTACTTTGTTTTCAGATTCATCACATTTATTTGCCAGTTGTAGTTTACCTGCATTTATCAGCCCTCTTAAGTTTTATTTTCCTTTTGCATATGATTTTTTAACTATCCCAGAACATCTTATTTTTTGTCTTGCTTCTGCAGCCCACCTACAGGGACGAGTGGATTCCCACTAGTGCTCAGTAGTTCCATGCAGGTGTTTTCTGGAGCTGAGTGGTCTCTGGCTCTGGTAACACCATTTGGGTTTGAGAGGGAAACAGCTGAGCAGAGATGATGATGAAACTTGACTGCTTCCCACTTTTTGACCCTCTCCTCAAGGAAGATGTGGGTGATGTGAGTAGTGCTGTATGACAGTGTTGTGGGAGATTGCAGGAGACAGATGGTAGGAAGTAAGACACATTTGATTTTACCTTATCCATTTTGCCCAGAGACAGCTGTCGTCAGCTGCTCATCACTATAGTGGAGATTAGCTTACCTTTTGTTTGCTAACTATCAGAACCAATCTCAATCTCATTTATTAAGAGAGAGAAAAAAACTTTCAGCCTGTAAACACATTCACCAGGTTACAAATTTCTGTTAAAAGTTAGAAAATATTGATGTCAATATCATCACTGAGCATTTATATCCTGAAAAATCACAATAATTTGGATATTTTAACTTTAATTTTTCAGTTCTGAATTGTGATGTCCATTTTGGCCCAAGTCTGTATCTATAGTTCTATATCAATTTCAAGTCAGATCAACCTTAGCTATACCTATTCTGTCCAACTATTCTATACAAAGCACCATAAAAGCTATTAAAAGCAAAAACCAAGGTTGACCTAGTATCTTTCCAGGTAATACCTCTGTATTTGGAGAGAAGGTGGAATACAGGTTCATGATTCTTCATCTGAAAATTCCAAGGCTTGGCGTGTTTTGGAATTTAGAACTTTTAAAATTAAAGATAATAGACCATTCAGGACATAGGCACAGGCAAAGTTTTCATGATGAAGATGCCAAAAGCAATTGCAACAAAAGCAAAAATTGACAAATGGGATCTTATTAAACTAAAGAGCTTCTGCATGGCAAAAGAAACTATCACCAGAGCAAACAGACAACCTACAGAATGGGAGAAAATTTTTGCATTCTATCCATCTGACAAAGGTATAATATCCAGAATCTATAAGGAACTTAAAATTACATGAGAAAAACAACCTCACTGAAAAGTGGGCAAAGGACATGGACAGACACTTCTCAAGAGAAGACATACATGTGGCCAACCAACATATGAAAAAAAAGTTCAGCATCACTAATCATTAGAGAAATGCAAGTCAGAACCACGATGAGATACCATCTCAAGCTGGTCAGAATAGCTGTTATTAAAAAGTCAGAAAAACAACAGATACTGGCAAGATTGTGAAGAAAAAGGAACACTTTTACACTGTCGGTGGGAGTGTAAATTAGTTCAGCCATTGTGAAAGACAGTGTGGTGATTCCTTAAAGGCTTAGAGGCAGAAATACCATTTGACCCAGCAATTCCATATGCCCAAAGGAATGTAAATTGTTATAAAGACACATGCATGTGTATGTTCATTGCGTTACTTTTCACAATAGCAAAGACATGGACTCAACCCAAATGCCCATCAATGATAGACTGGATAAAGAAAATGCAGTACATGTAATATACTATGGAATACTATGCAGCCATAAAAAGGAATGAGACCGTGTCCTTTTCAGGGACATGGATGGAGCTGGAGCCCGTTATCCTTAGCAAAGTAAAGCAGAAACAGAAAACCACGTGTATCGTGTTTTCACTTATAAGTGGGAGCTAAATAATAGCACATGGACCAATGCGGGGAGCAACATACACTGGGGCCTGTGGGAGGGCGAGGGGGTGGGAGGAAGGAGAGGATCAGGAAGAATAGCTAATGGATGCTGGGCTTAATACCTGAGTGATGGGATGATCTGTGCAGCAGATGACCATGGCACACATTTACCTATGTAACCTGCACATCCTGCGTATGTACCCCTGAACTTAAAAGTTGGAAATAAAATATGGAAAAAACAATAAAAAGGTAATATGAGACGTATACTGAATAGAATATTACATCTCCAGGTAGGTTTAGTGTGGAAATTACTTTTAATATGTGAAATATGAACATTCAGTCTGAGTGAATAAAATACTTAACCTGAATTCAGGTCATGCATTTATACTTTTTCAGCTTCAGAATTTCGTTTTGATTTTTAAAATTATTTCAATCTCTCTGTTAAATTTCCCT